AGAGCATATGCTCTATGGAACAATCCCTCCCATCAATATCAGCACCACCCCAGAGGGAGTTGTGTCCATTAAAGTCTCCCAGAAGTGAAAAGGGAGATGGCAACTGGTCAACGAGAGCATCAAGGTCCAATTGATCTTGAGACAGATAGAGAGAACAAACAGTGATGGTACAACCCAAGGAAACATGGATGGCTACGGCCTCCAAGGGTGTATCGAGAGACACAGATAAGGAGGGCACATGCTGGTCAACCAGCAGTGCTACCCCTCCATACACCCATCCATCACACAACCTGTCATTCTGGTACACAGAAAACTGCTGAAAGGTGACTGAATCAGCAGGTTTCTTAAATGTTTCCTGTAAGGAGAGACACACACACACACAGGATGATAGAAGTCTATCAAGGCCTTAATGTCATCGAGATTAGAACAAAAATCTCGACAGTTCCACTGTATCAAATTGGACATTTTTATGTAGGTAGAGGAGAACAGGGTGGAGAACCCTTTGGTTTATGACCATGCCATTTTTCTTTACTAGATGAAGGTCGATTGACCTCCATGGATCCTGCCCTTGATCGAGTGGGCAGATCTCTGTCATCAGAGTGAGAATCCAATGACTGAGGATGTGATCGATTGATTGTACTGCATTTAAGGGCCAAAGAAGGACCCGAGTAGACACCAGAGGCCATTGCCCGAGGAGGTTGACCCAGGCAGTCACTGGAAGGAATAGTGGGGACAGAGATTGGAGTAGACATAGACTGGTCAACTCTATTATCTATGGAGGGCAGAAGACCCCTCACATGGCATGAAAAATACTCAGATGGAGGCATGAAAAGGTCCATCTGCACCCCCACTGTAGCAGTGGAGCATAATCCAGTGACATATGTCTGAGATGGAGTAGGGAGCTTCCGAGCCTCAGGGTAAGAAATATTATTAACAGTATTTAAACGCTGTACCTCTTTCTCCTCCCCCCACTTAGGGCAAGACCTAAAGTATGAGGGGTGGGAACCACTACAATTAACACAGTGAGGGTCCAATTCACACTCATAAGCGTCATGGTCCATGCCACCATAACGAGCACACATCACAGAACCATGACAAGGTGTCTTCAAATGACCGAACCGCTGGTACTGGAAACATTGGAGAGGGTTAGGAATATATGGCCATACCTTACAGTTCAAATAACCCGATTTAACAGCAGCAGGTGGATGTGGCGATGAAAACATCAAAATGAGGACAGAGGTTGGCACCATAATTCCATCTTGATGAGTGGAGATCCTTCGAACTGCTGAAACTCCTTGGCTGGTTTCTCCAGCCAAGGATCTCTGACTCGGAGATGGTCTTCAAGTCTCTCTCGACAATAACTCCTCGTGAGGAATTCAAAGGAGCATGAGGAGTAACCTCAATGGGTATATCCCCAATGGTCTTTGAATTCATAAGGAGTTCACTGTGTTTTGGTGTTGATGTTTCCACCAAGATATCCCCAGAATGTAGCTTCTTGACTGACTTTGGAGAGCCAGCAAACCCCTCTAATCCCTTATAAATAAAAAAAGGGAGACATTTGCCCTAAAGATTTATCAGACAGTAAATGCAGGATCAGGAAGTGAGGTACAGGTCTACATTGTGGTGGAGACTGCCGTTCAGAGTCTTCTAGGCATGGTCGTTTACCAATTAGCAGAGTTTTTACATTTTTTTATTTGGATTTGGGGGATCCATAATAAAAGAGAAAGATTCAGTGCCCACTGACCCCACCTGCCATGGAGTCCTACGAGGGGATGCACTACAATGTCAAACAAGGACACTGCAGCAATGCCAGGGTTTCATGACCACTATACCCAAACACCAGCATCAGACACAATGTCCACAACACTCGTTGAGAACGCCCAACACGGGTACTCAGTTGACCCTAGCCTGAATGGACCAGCTGATTGACCCTGGGGAGGCCACCCCAAGGCCACCCATCTACAGGAATTAAAGGTCAAAGTGGTGTGTTGCAGTGCCCCAGACCCACCTCAACCGCCAGGATCCTGCCCTTCATGAGTTGCCATGCACAGCAAACACGTGGATGGATGTTTATATCCCAGAGGAAGTAACTGAAAATACAGAACCTTCCCTGGGAGGTCCCCT